GCACTCTGAAAAAGAATAAGCTCAGTGTCTTGTTGCTTGGGAGAAAAATCTAAACTCTAAATGTTAGTTCAAAAGTCTCTACTGGAGGCAGGCTTCGAGTCTGATATGAATTACAGCTTCTCACCTGCAAATCTATTAAAAGTAGTAACAAGGTTAATGAAGAGCAAGCTAAATCTCTTTAGAATAATTCATGCTGACACTGAAACGTGTGCTGTCACAGTTTTGCTCTGTGGACTTAGACATGCTGCTATTTGCCCAGCATTGGAGAAGAGGAGGAGCACAAATTGACTCACAGTTCGGGATGTCGGAGGAGCCGAAGGACTTGTTAGGGAAACCATCTCCTGGATTGCTAATCGGAGCTTTAAGCGATGTAGTGGATTGCTAATTCCAATTTCTCTCTGGATCTCAGTGTCAGATAAAGCGGACATGATGGCACCGCTCTTCACATTGGCTCGGCAGGCTGCCACATACCAAGCAGGCATTCCCAACCAGAGCTGTTGGATAGGAAAAAAAATACATACACAGATTATAGTAATGGCTAATATTTTAGCATCTCTTATGTACTAGGAATTATATACTAGGAATCCTTACATACTTGGATTCACAATCACATAAGGTACATGTTATGATTATTTCCCCCAGACAAGATAGATGCACAGAGACATCAATTCATTCAAAAACATCATCTAGGCAGTGATGGGACTGAGGTAGGTATTCTGGCTCCAGAAATTATATTTTAACAACTAATTTATATTTCCAGGGATAAAAGTAACTGCTGCATGACACCAAATTCCCCCGTATATGTAAGGACAAGAATAGATACAAGATGCATTTGGTAAGGGGCTCAATCAACGTTTGTTTAATGAATGACTTCAATTTGTAATTTTCCTTTGGAATTCTGAGTTCAGAGAAATTCTGTCACAGAGAGATCTCTACTGTCTCCAGCCATATGATATCAATCAAAGCACCTGGTGTAGCTAAAACACATTTCCATCTACCTTCTTACACCATGTGAACATC